AATCTATCCTAGTCACAGGCGCGTAAGTATCAAAGTAGTCATAGCCCTCGCGTTGGCTATACCCCTTGATCACAAGTCTAGCTTTGTACTTGTCAATGGAGCCGTCAGGCTTCATTTTCCTCCGAAAGACCCATTTGGAACCTAATGGCTTACACCCTGGAGGGAGATCAACCAGTTCCCACGTGTGATTCTGAAGGATAGAATCGACTTCACTCTTTATGGCCTCTTGCCACTGAGGTCCCTCAGTTGAGGTTACGGCCTCGTGATAGGTTCGTGGTTCCTTTTCTACCAAACAGGTTAGAATATCGGGTTCATTTTCCATTAGAAATGACAAGGTTCCTTTGTCAAATTCTATCAGATATGTTATGAAGTCAGAACCGAACGTCTTTTCAGTTCGCATTCTTTTACTTCGTCTCAGTTCAGTCTCATGTTCGACTTCATCATCATCGTCATCGGAATTCAACTGATTTGGATCATCATTATCCATCATCTCAGCATGAGAACGTTTGGACGAGCTGGCTTCGTCACTTGACTTGCACGGAAAAATATGCTCGAAAAACGTTGCGTTCCGTGACTCGATGATTGTGTTCTTGTGAATTTCAGGATTATCTGATTTATACACAAAGAACCGGTATGACGTACTACTGTACCCGATGAAGATTCCATCAACTGTTTTTGGACCGATCTTCATCTTCTTCGGAGGTGGTGCAAGTACTTTCGCGAGACACCCCCACACTTTGAGATACTTATAGGAAGGTTTCCTATTATGCCAAAGTTCATACGGAGTTTTGTCAAGTTTCTTACGAGGTATTTTATTTATTAAATAATTACTTGATAAAACAGCCTCCCCCCACATGTTCTGAGGTAATCCAGAACTAAGCAGCATCGCATTCATCATGTCTTTTAGAGTGCGATTCTTGCGCTCCGCTACTCCGTTAGATTGTGGTGTATACGGTGGGGTTACTTGATGCACAATTCCATGTTGTGCACAAAACTCATTAAGTGGAGCATCATACTCACCACCTCTATCGCTTCTCAATGCTTTTATTTTGCGATTGAGTTGATTTTCCACTTCATTCTTATATCGAATAAAAGTGTCTAACGCTTCATCTTTACTTTTTAGTAAATAGATATAGCAATATTTCGTGCTATCATCGACGAAGGTAATAAAGTACTTATTACCCCCTCTTGAAGGCGTTATTCGAAAATCACACAAGTCGGTGTGAACCAACTCTAGAGGTTGAGTGTTCCGTTCGATCGCTTGAAACGAACTTCGAGTTGACTTAGCTTCAACACAAGTTTCGCACTTGTGGGTTAGGTCAATACTAAACTTAGGTATGTGTTCCATGTTAATTAATTTCCGAATAGATGCATAATTAACATGTCCTAGTCTACCATGCCATAAGCTAGAAAACTCACACACATAAGCAACAGGATTTTTATTGATCTTTTCATGAACAGTCATTACATTGAGCTTTACTAGCCCATCAGAAATGTAACCCTTCCCAATAAAAATCCCTTTCTTGGATAAGATTAGCTTGTCTGATTCAAACACCATCCGAAAGTCGTGTTTGATCAGCAGTGACCCCGACACTAAATTCTTGCGAATGTCTGGGACATAGAGCACGTCGTTGAGCGTGAGCTCCTTGCCGGAAGTCATTTTCAGCTTGATCTTTCCAATCCCTTGAACCTCTGATTGGGCCGAATCGCCCATCCACACCTTGTCACCGGAGCTCTCTTGAAAGTCTTGAAACATGCTCCGATTTGAACAAATATGGCGTGTGGCTCCTGTGTCCACAAACCATTCCTTCGGGTTTGACCCGACGAGATTCACCTCGGTTACAACCGCGCAGAGGTCTAAGTTGTCAAGCTCCGCACACATGGCTTCAGTGGTTTTCTTCTTTCCCTTTTGTGGCTTCTTTTTCCTACAATCGGAGGAAGGATGCCCAGTAATGCCACAATTATAGCATTTTCCTGCAAATTTAGAAACACCACCCTTAGGACCCATTTTCTTCTTGTCCTTCCCGCCATGTGAAGAGCCCGACGGATGTTCTACAACATTCTCCTTAGCCCCTCCATTTCTTCTAGCAAGCCCTTCCTCTCGGATCCTCAACCGCATGAGCAGTTGCTCCAGATTCAGCTCCGTTCTTTTGAGCTTGAGGTCGGCTTGGAAATCTTCCCATGACCGGGGAAGTTTGTGGATGATGGCCGCCACTTGGAAGGCCTCGCTTACGCCTACTTTCTCTTCATTGCATTTGTTGAAGATAACCGTAAGCTCCTCAGCCTGGGCGACAACAGATTTGCTGTCGACCATCTTGAGTCCAGCATCTTCCCGACGATGAACTTCTTCGTGCCGGCATCTTCAGCTTGATACTTTTTGTTCAAGCTATTCCAAAGTTCCTTGGCGAGCGTTGCACCGGCGTAGACGGGGTATAGCGAATCTCCCAACCCCTCCAGGATAATGTTGATGGCGAGATAGTTGTTGTGGTACCATGCTTGGTTCACCATCGCCACGAGGGGGTCGTTGGCTTCATTAGGCTGGGGGGATCTTGCTGCAAGTACTCAGCAAATCCCAAGACGGAGTACTTTTTGTAGTAGAAAACAACGGTGTAAAACTTCAAGCACGGTAACTTGAAGCCACCGGAAACCTGGCTTGATCGCCCGTGGCATTAGCCGGGTTGGCGTAACCCGCACACCTCCTTTCCGGGCAATCAGCGGGTTACCCCAGGTTGCTTACCTAACTGGCCACACCCCTTTCCCGCGTTCGGTCCTACGTTGACCGGTGTGGGAAAAACCGTGTTCGGTCCAAGGTTGACCGTCGAGGCCGAAGCCATAGTCGGTCCGAGAAACAGATTCGAATTACCGACGGGGTGATCCCCCGTGGTTTCGAGCCCGAGAATGGGTCGAGGGGCCGACCCGAAGATCGAGCTTGGCATTGAAAACGACGTCATGGTCGCAGCCCCCACACTTGCCCCGAAGGGTAGTGGTGAGGACGGCACAACCATGGCGACCGAAGAGGTTTCCACCGGAATTTCGGAACTTATTCCGTTGCCGGAGGAACCCACGATGCCGAATCCGAACTCCATACTACTACCTTAAGTATATTATAATAACCTACAACCTTAAGATTGTTGATTATTACAGCGGGAAAAATGAAATAAAATTTAATCCGAACTTATAACATGTTCGGATTTACAACAAAAATAAAAGAAAAGAGAAAGTGGAGTTCTTCGATTGTTCGAACGAGATGGAGGAACACGAACAGACGGCGAGGTGCTGACTTCGGACGGAGGATTGTGCGTCGCCGGAACAGTTTCTCGAAGTGGAGGTTAGGAAAGCGGAGTCGCCGAAGCTTTCCTTAAGGTAGTATTGCCCGCCTCCCGCACTGGCAAACGTGGGCAATCTCCTCCCAGGATAAAACCGCAACGTGCTAAGTCTAGAGCGGTAGAACAGAGCACCGGCGAACGAGAACGACGAGAGTTATAGCCGGAGAAGGTGATCGGAATTAGGAGATGGTCGGAAAGTTATAACACAGAGAGAGAGATATTCAAGTAAATCACTAATCTCTGCACCCGAGCCCTCCTTTTATAAGAGGGAGTTCTTGGCTTTTCGCTGGACCGTCGGAGATTACGAGGAGATGGTTGTCTCTTCGGTCTCCAGTGCATGCATGCTAATTACAACGTACATTTCGTTATTAACGAAGTGTACACGCGCGTTTTGTTTTGGTCTCGTAAAAATTTAGCCACGCCGCAGACGCGGGCGCGACGCGCCCCGCCGCGACGCGCGCGTGCCGAGCCGGACGGACGGCGGCGGCGGCGGCGGGCGCGCGAGGAGTCCTCTTCTTGTTCCTTTCATAAGCTCAATTCAATGCCTAAGCTTAAATATGAGAATACGAAAGGTTTAGAAACCGGTGTGGGACAGAGGCATTTACTCTACCTTAGTGTTCAACTTTGAGAATTAATTTCTCATTCACCCGAGCACCGTTCATGACGTGTCATATATCAAGACGTTCGTCTTACTTACGAGATTAATCGTCCATAATTATTTTGGAAAATAATTTTGTGGACCCAACCGAATTTATGTCCGAAAATGTCCAATTTACTTTAAAATTTCCAACATCCACCCGAGTGCACAGAGTCAAGGGTTTTCATTGTGATGATCTAGAGGCCGTTTTTAGTAGCAGTGAGATGATACGGCAATTCCTGGAAAGAGAAAGCTCACAGACTGGTACTCTCAGAGGGTAAAGCGCACAAAAGCAAGGTGTGAGAAGGAAGGAAGGTAATGCATGGATCAGGCTTGATGTGCCTATGAATATATATATATATATATATATATATATATATATATATATATATATATATATATATATATATATATATATATCTTTTACATTCTTCTTTTAAACAATAGCTTGCGACTGCTAATAAATGGAAAGAATTAATCCAAGCTAAAGACAAAGGTATTATTAATCCCGATAATTCACTAATGTCAGGTACGACAATCACATAAGTTTAGCACCCGTAATAAATTTATATTACCGCTTTCATAATTCATCTCATTCAATTTGGTGTTCAGTAGGTAGTATGTGTTCCCAATACATAAATGTGAAAATATATTTTTGTTCTGTAGTTTTTTATTTTTTTCTCCAAAGCTCAAAGGTTAGAACTCTTTTCAGTTGGGTCACGTGATGATCGTGGAACCTAGATTTGGAGGATGCAAGTTTGTGCATGTAATGATGCATAAGGTGCATATTTGTTTTTTAAAGCCCTCATTTTTGAAGTCCATGATGTTAATGCAAATGTACCAACTTCTCTTATTTTGGTTTCTGGCATGTCAATTGAGCAATAATTTTCAAAATGTACTTGCATCATATTTCCTCTCCTTAATGGCTTATTCATTATCCAAATTACTCATATAATGCAGAGTATATGATAATGACATGTAGTAGATGGAATATAAATGAGATGTCAATATGATATTATCCCACGTAGTAAGACGTGCACTAAAGAGTTTGTATAGTAATGATATACAACATTACTCTATATAATATATGCATTGGATGGAAGTATGATACTATATCAGTGTACCATCATATATTATACCATGCGTGACTTCTTTAAAGTGATTTCAGTTCCAAAATGCTCCGTAGAATTGAATACAACTTCATATTGATACAAGTTCTTGTTTTGTGAAACAAATTCCTCTTGTTTTTTCATTCCATTTGAAGAAAACGAACATTAATCCATCATGAGTTATATAAACACTAACAACCTTTGCTAAAAATCATACTACTATTTCATGAAATGAACATATCGTGGATTATAATCCGCGCATTGCGCGGATAGGTGCATGCCAAATTTCAACCGGCGTTCTTCAGGGAACCCGTTCTATTACGACAGGGAGAGACGCAGATTTGCAACAAGAACAGATAGAACCAAGGAAATCAATGAGTTATGAGGCTGTTCGATCTCTGGAATCTATCAACAAAAGGAGATCTCACCAGGGGAGATGCAAGGAACTGCTACTTGGGACCTAAAGACGGCGGCTCAAGTACTATCTCGGCTTCCATTGAGAGTAAGCAATTTCTTTTCGAAGCCATGGAGGGTCTCATCTACATTACTGAATCTAAAAATGGTAATTCTAGTACCATCTTTGTTTCTCTGCCCGCTTGTTTATCGGTTATTGAAAACCTTTGCTGCCCAAGAAAAGGATAGTTGATTAGTAGGTTTGAGGGGGATTCCTCACTAAAGATTTTTTGGGATTCAAATCAATTTGGAGACTTTATCCGCCTCTCACATAGAACCGAAAATCTATCTAAATCAATAAACAAATCTCTTCAAGTATATAAAATTTCATGTAAATCAATAAAAGAGTCTGCCAAACTCTGCATATAGTCATTGGAATTTCTAAATCCACCGACTTCTTAAAGTCCAAAAAAATCCTACACACTTTTAATTGAATACACCTCCCTTATTTTTGGGTGATTTCCCAATCCATGAGAATTTCAAAAATCCATTCCCATATGGTAAAAATGTGCCAAACAGTGCTCTGGGTAGTCTGACATAATACATAATGGAAAAGCCAGCATTGTTATGTTATTTACTATTAGCCTTTGGATTATTTAAAAATATTACATTTAATACTTCCATTCTTTAGATATTCGTATTAATTTTGAACAGTAATAACATCTTTATTCATTTGATGCGCTACTACTGGAATAAAAAGTATAAATAAAAGTTGTTGTACATATTTAAAAATCTCACATATAAATTTATAATTTAACTAAGTACCATGATGATGCCTTCGTAATCGCATATCCATATTATTTGTGAAACGGGTGCTAACTGGACGATCAAGAGTAGGCCATTCAATTTCATTTTGTAGTGGCATAACACTTCTAGAATATGCATCGAGATAATTCTGAAGTGAGAATACTTGAATAACAAGAACTGAATATGGATAAATAAATAGTTGATCATTATATTCGACGATGATATTTGTTGATTCTAGTCTTCTGATATTGTGTGATTATATATTGATGGATGCTGGTCTATGAGTTAAATCTAGCGTTAGATACTTCTACTCTCCCTATATTTTTAGAGGTAGAGATCAAGGATTGGATGAGGAGCAGCCTGAAGGATAGTGAAGCGTGATGTTGGTGGATGGCCGAAGCTGTTTTATTTAAATTAAATACAGTTTGTTGAATTTGTTTATTTAAAATAATATAATGTTGAATGTTGTTTTTGAAGGCTTCCGCAACGTTTGGATTTTGTTACTCCAATTAAACTATGGTTTGATTTTAAATAAATGTGATTGGATGTTTTGTTTTAAATGTTTTAAAAATATTGTGCATGTGAATACCAAATTCGTAGCAACCCGATTCGCTAACTCGTTGGTTCGGGTTACGCGGGTTGATGTGTTACACTTGTTGGACCACGTATAATGTTCAGAAGACATCTCAAACAATAAGCTTCATCTGTTCCTGGCGAAACGTAGCTCAAATGTCCTATAGCAAAGCCTCTCTTTCAAGGCTCATATTTTTTTTATCTGACTTCCATACAAATTTTTGTGAAAATTCAGCATATGTCAGAGATCTTCCATCAGGATACTTTTTATTTGCCTTCATCCATGCTAAAAATTTACTCTCTTTGATGCTTTCTCGTCGCACATCTTCGGCAGTTTCATCATCATCTTCGTAAAAAAATCATTTGCTCATCCTGCAAATGAAAGCTCAAGCGTTTTACACTTGGATTTTTATATTGTATATGATATCCAAAAATTCTCCATGTAGCTTCACAGGGACAAATATATCTACAATCATAATAGAGCTTGATTTCATTTGTCTTGTCCATAGCTGGATCAGTGGAATTTGAAGAATTTGCATAAAAACAGCAGTCAATCGATCATGCCCTTTGTTGACGTACTTAAACGAATACTTTATTGAATGTG